GAATAAACGAAATACACTGTATTAATTCTTGTTTGTGTTGTGTCTTGTATGTCAACACTAACTTGTTTTTTTTGTAAATGACATATAGTGTGCTTCGTGAAAATGAAGGTCATTTAGTATTGAAACTTGGTCAAACTACACTCTCTTAATAATTAAATAAATTATTTATTTTAACCAATTGTAATGAATGATTTATGCCATAATTACTCACATGTATTATTCAACAAAAGCTATATTTTGTATTAAATAAATAAATATTACATTGAATAGTATATAGATAAACAACTAACTTAAAAAAACTTCATTTCTTCAAAATAAACAACACCCTTTCTCCTTTTTAGGTTTTTCTATTGTCCAGATTTCTTCTTCTATAGAATATTTATATTCAACTACATTTCTTGTTATTATATCAAAGATTTGATTAATGTTTTCATTTGTTTTAGCACTGCATTCAAGAAATGGACATTTGACACTATCTGCATATTCTATACCGTCTTCTTTCGTTACCTGTCTTTCATTTTCTAAGTCACATTTATTTCCAACTATAATAATTGGAATTACTTCATTCTCATCTTTGTCTTTAACTCGATAAATCTCTTCATAAATTCCTTTCATTTCTTCAAATGATTCTTTTGATGTAATAGAATATATTAATATAAACCCATCGCTCTGCTTTATGTATAAGTCTCTCAATATAGAAAACTCATCTCCACTACACGGATCAGCAACATCTATTATAATAGAAATATCATCAACTTTCATTACCGTTCGATACTCATCTTCAATACCTGGGTCATACATTTTAAAAAAATGTCCAGAGAAGAATCGGATTAAGATTGAAGTTTTACCAGAATTAATTTTTCCTAATGCAACCAATTTATATGGATTACCACTAACACTCATTTGAAACTAACTCTTTTATTAGTTTTTTATAAATCGTTTTTATAACTATGTGAATTAATTTGAATTTTTGAATATTCTTTAAAGTATTTAACACCATTACTTCATATCTTTTTATTCGTTTGATTATTTTATTTTTTATTCAAAAAAAAAAATGTTTTAGTTATTGTTTTTAATAATGTACTTCCAATTTCATATTCTTTTTATTGTAATTAACACACTGAGTTTTTTTGCTTCACTTTATTTTTGTTGTGTTATTTTTTAAAATTGGATTTAGTTCTAATACCATCTCATCAACTACAGTAATGTTTGATGGGAATAGCTATCTAACAAACCAATGGAACTAAAAGACAGTGATGTTATATGTTTTATTAAGACTAAGCAATGTAATTATTGAAGTGATAGTCTTTTTAATTTTAAAAAACTTCCTCAAAAAACATAAGCCAATTTATACTTCTTTTACTCCTTTTCATTATAATTCCTATTTTTGGGGGATATTCATAACTTGGATTATTAAAAAAGCTTTATTTTAATACGCCATGCCTTCCACCCTCTTTGCTTACAGCGTCATTTCTCATATTCTTGATATTCTTTAGACTTGTGTCATCTATAAAATACTCAATTTGTTATTAAATGTTCAATGAAGAATTAATTACAACAAATCACATTCTGATAACATACTAAATATCCAACAAACTATATTTTCTTCTAAATCACTAGAATAAATAACAATATTCCTATTTCAAAGATAGACTTGCATCTAATGAAATGACAAGAATCTACACCTTTTCAAATTCGTCATTTGACTGAGAAAGAATAAAGATATGTGATAAAACCAATACATTAAAACATAAAACCATTATTTTTGACAAAAGTGTTATTT